GTGCTTTTTTCAGGAAGCAACTGGACTGTCTTGTTTTTTCTTTTGAAGATGTTTTGCTTCTCATCCAAGAAGCTTCTTCAGCTCTGACTGGATGGTGGGGAATGGAAGGATTTACATTCCTTGCAGACAGCTGGTCATTTGTATCCTTTTAGAGGGTTGTTGAAGCACTTGGAGGTTTATCTGTATCCTCAGGGTCATTTGAGTAGTGCTCCTGGTTCCTGTAGTCTACAATTCTCTGGAAATCTATTCCTACTCCCACACCATTCCAAGGGTGTTCAACCCAAATTGTCTAGCTAAAAGTCTGTAGAAATTCTCAATTATCCAGGTCATTGTTGTCCCAAAGGTGCTTTTTTCAGGACTTATGCTCAGATGCAGCTTTTTACACAATAATATTTATATATTATATGCAAAATCTATCCTCGAAATGTTTAAGATATGTTTCTTTTTTAAGGTATGTTTCTTAAAAGTAAGGAACAGATAAAATATATACAGGAGCCACATCTGGCTCTTAGGCTGCCATCTGACCACCTTTAAATTAGATAAGTCCTACCAAATTAGAAGAGGAATGATGTTCTTAATTTGTGAGCCCCTCCTCCTTTGCAAAATTTGTGATTCATCTGCTTAGGGTGGATTCAGATCACATAGCTGCTCATACACTAATTAAATAGGAAAGAGGCTGCTTAGACAGGTGCAGGTGGCCACTTACCTACCACAGATGAGAATTGATCAGATATGACATTTTGCCAAGTGGCAAATTGTTATTCCCTGCAGAACACATGCTTTGCATACAGAAAGTTCTAGGTTTATTTTCTGACAACAAAGCAGAACTGGGTAACAATCCTTTCTTAAATCCTGAAGGCAGCCACCAGTCCTAGTGCATAATGCGAAACCAGTTGAAAACTTTGGCCAAATTAAAAAATCGGCAGCTTCCCATGGGGTCAATCCAACTTGAAGTAGACCTTCACTTGAACAGTGGGGTGTGCCTTCCTTCCTCTTCCCCAGATCAGCTGTGGAAAGTTCTCTATTTTTTGAAACAGACTTTGGCTGTTTGTGAGTAAAAGATGCATCTGTTTTATTGATGGATTGCATCAGCAGGTAGATATCACAAGAATTAACATTAAATCTTTTACTTCATAAAAAAATACAAATGACAGTGCTTTTCTGGTAGCAATGGACGTTTTGTCAGTAATTCTAGGCAAGGTGAACCACTATCTCCCTTTAAATACCACAAGCCAGCAATTAAAAACATCTACCCATCAAGTTATTGCAGCAGGAATATGATTCTTTTTTGTACTTTTCTAGACTGGATTGTCTATTTTTTGTCTCACATTCTACTTCCAAAGTTAAAGCAACAGGGAATAAGCAAACATTGACTTCCGGTTGCTCGTCATTGGAGTCAGAGCGAAATCCGCAATTGTGCACGGTTTCGCTCTGAACTCACTTGTTGGAGGGTCCAGATTGGGACCAGAACAACTCTGGATGGATGGTGAAGAGAGGGGGAATCGCTTGGAGGGTTGAGGGGAGTAGCAACTCCCCTCCCTGACAAGAAAAACCCCTTCCAAAGGCAAGTTGCAGCGGTGGTCTAAATGTCCACCACAAAGACAAGGAGCAGTCCAGGAAACTAAGACTGTGTTGGAGTGGTGAAGCAGCCAGCGGAGTGTGAACCAGACAAATACATGGACTTTAAGGTACCCCGGTATTAAGAAATAAAAGGACTATTTTGGAGGAAAGTGTGCAGAGGCAATGACCAGAGAGAGTGAGAAGGAAATTGCAATTTATAAAATTGGCTTGAATTATTGCAACAAATTAACTTGGAGAAGAAAATTCAGAGGAAAATATTTGAGCACAAAAAGCTTGGAAATTAAATTGGATAACTATTGGATCTTTGGCACTAAATAGGCATAAATAAATGCTGGAATTGAATGTATTGAAAAGAAATAATAGCTAATAATTGAAACTAGCAAACTTAATAAAAGTTTTATAATTAAAAAAAGAAAGCAAAAGTAAAAAAAAGTGAATTCTGGAAAAGAACCAAGAGCGCCATCTGATGGTACAGGAAAAATTTCAGTGACTGTTTGAAAAGGGTTTGGTTTTTCTAATAAATTGGACTTTGGAATTTAAAAGAAAATAAGAGAAACACCATTATAATAAAATAAGAACCCTGAAAAGTGATAACAGAATACTATAAGGGGAAAGATACTTGAAAACATTGTTTTAGAACCACCTGGTGACTTTGGGAAACAGCTAGAAAAGGACCTATTAGAAGATCTGGAAATGAAGATTTATGGAACCACACTGCTTGCCAAACTAGAACTTTTATTTAAAAAATAAAAAATAGGAGAGGAAATTGAATAATGAAATTACTAGGTATGTCTAAATGATATGGTGATTGGCACTAGGAGAAAGTATTGAAATGTTGAAAAATTAAGCAATGAAGGATTATAATTTAATACGAACATGTGTATCAAGAGATATGGCTGGTTTTATTAATTTTGTTTGTACTAAAATGTATGATGTATCAGTGCCACACTGTTTATGTATTGATGTGTATGTGTAGACTGAAATAAAAAAACTTGATTAAAAAAAGGAAATAAACAAACATCATGGGGAAACTCTAGGGCAGAAATAGTTCTAGAGAAGAGGGAAGTAGATCTCATCATGATTTTGCAGCTAGCTGGATGCTGTAGTGTCCCAATTGAAAATGAATAATTGCTCAGGAAAGGGGAATAAAAGTGATTGAAACTGACAAATGTTGGAAAAGGAGCAAATAATCAACAAAATCCTTACTGTATTCAAGACTTTTCTTATTCTCTGGAAAGGCAAGGAAAAGCAATTTAATGGATTAATGTATTTCACCATACCGTTCAAGCAAAATAATGAGAAGCATCTGCTCTTTGTCCACACATAAGCTAGTAGAACTCTGCTTCCTCTTGCTTTAAGGAAATTGGAAGAGAAGTTGGTGACATAAACTTTTTTTTCTTTTTGGAAGGGATGGATGGGAGATCTAAAATGAAACCAGAAAACAAAGTGTTAATGGAGATAGTTAAAGATCAGGAAATAAATGGCTGCAATGGAAGCAGACTTGTAACTAGATACTTCTATCACACCCAGAACTGGTCACTTGACTTTGTTTCTAAGGCAATAGATGTCAAAATATATTACTTTTTTATGCAACTGGAACGGGAATATGGGCACCTCAGTTGTGCGCTAGGAATGAAGGATTATACCTTCAGACCCAGGAGGGAAGAAGGAACGTTGTGTTTCAGACCTGGGTTACTACATACATCCACTAATCTTAGTTCATTGATCACAGTACAGGTAGCAAAGTTATAACAGTTCATTTAGTGACTGTTCAAAGTTACAATGGCACTGAAAAAAGTGCCCATTATGACCATTTTTCACACTTACAGCTGCTGCAGCATCCCCATGGTCATGTGATTTACAAATGATTGATAACTAGTTCATATTTATGATGGTTGCAGCGTCCTGGGGTCATGTGATCACCTTTTGCAACCTTCTGACAAAGTCAAAGGGGAAGCCAGATTCATTTAACAACCGTGTTTACTACTTTAACAACTGCAGTGATTCACTTAACAAATGTGGCAGGAAAAGTCGTAAAATGGGGCAAAACTCACTTAACAAATTTCTCACGTAGCAACATAAATTCTGGGCACAATTGTGGTCTTAAGTAGAGGACTACCAGTACATCACAAAATAGTACATGATTCCAACTAATATGTCTTCTAATGCCCTAGGTCAGGGGTGGTATTCAGCAGGTTCTGACCACTTCTGGAGAACCAGGAGTGGAAATTTTGAGTAGTTCGGAGAACCGGCATATACCACCTCTGACTGGAGGTTTTACAGTATCCTTCCTCTGTCATGCCCACCAAACCATGCCCACAGAACCGGTAGTAAAAAAAATTGAATCCCACCACTGCCCTAGGTTGTCTTTTATGTTTACAATTTTCACATTTCAGCAACTAAAACTGGAATAAAACTATTAAGGATTAAACATTTTTAATCTGTCTAGGAAAGTTAAGAGTTTTGTGCTTGTTTTATATTTCAATAAGCCATAATTGGTTTATTTGGCTGTGGAGCAAACTCAATGGTTATTCTTAAGCTAGGTTATGATTAGCAGTTAAGAGTTCTGGTTCCACCTTAAGCACAAAGCCACCTGGGTGACTTCAGCCAGTCATTCTTCTCAGGCCTAGAAAGGAAGCAAACCACTTGCCAAGAAAACTACAGGGAGTCCAAGCAGTCACCTGGAGGCAAGGCTGACTTGAAGGCACAACAGAAGTGTGTGTATCTAAGCTACAGGACTGGAAATAAATCTCAATATGCCAAAATACACTGTTTTTTTTTACTAGTTAATAAGACATTTTAAGAATTTCCCCGCCTGTTTTTCCAGCCGCTTTGCATAAAGGAGAGGGAGGTAGGCAGCATTCTTTACAAAAGAAATAATCCGAAACAACCAATCCAAAACGTTGGAGCAAGAGAATTTGACAGTTGCCCAAAAGGGTTTTTCGTACTTGTTTACTATAAAGCAAAAACTTCTGTGCGTTAAGACTGTGTGAAGTGGTTCCAAAAGGTTCCCTTAATTGTCGCGAAAACAAACAAGCCCAGGACTTCATTGTTCTTCCTGATCTGTTTTCCTTCTAACCCAAAGGCACAGGCTCCGAACCAGTTGAGAAGGCACACTCCTCCTTCCTTCTCTTGCGAGGTTCAGCGGAATTCGTTGCTTTGGGTTTGCGGGTGCGCCCCTCTTCCAGAATTCAGCGCAGGTCGAAAGAGGCGGCGCGGCGGACCCTTTAAGAGCCACGCAGGGCTCGCTTACTGGGTGGGAATAATTAGGAAGCAACACCCACCGACCCACCCACACCCCAAACGCCGACCTGCTTCGCTGAGCCTCCGGGCGGGAGGGGAGGCGGGGGAAACAAGAGAGCGAGAGCCGGGGAGGCAAGCGCGCGAGAAGGGGCGGGAGTTGAAGTGGCTATACAGAAGTGGCGGCGGAGAGGCCCGGAAGAGTGGGGTGTGAAGAAGAAAGAGTTGCCAGGCCGGGCATGGGGCGCGGCGGGGGCTGTGGTTTGCTGTAGCCCTAGGCTCGGTCTGCGAGAGCTTCCTTCTTTCTCCTGCCCCCGAGGAGAGCAGTCTGAGGAGGAGGAGGTGTCGGTGCAGCGACCTGCTTTTCTCTATCTCCTAGCTGGGGTCGCGCGGGGCTTTCGCTTCCTAAGCTCTCGCATCTCTGGGTTCCTGTTTAAGGGGGGGGGGGGGTTGTCCAAAAGCGGGAATCTGAGTAGTTGCTCAATTCTTCCCGTGCTCAGTTACAGGCTTCGGGCGGCACTTTCTGTAGATTAAACCCAATCGTCCTCTCTTCCGCCTTGAGAAACTTTGTGTGTGACCTTTGTTGCCGTTTTGCTTCCCTCCAAGACGAGGGTTAAGTGGTTTACAGCTTGTCTTTGCCTGCCAGGCCTCTGTCCTACCATTTCTGAGGAATTCTGGCTCCTTGTCCCCCTTTCTCTTCCTACCTTCCTCCCCTCTTCCCGCAGTGTCAAAACATAAACACCTGCTGCTGCCGAGAGTAGTTTAACCTTTGTCTTCGGGAGTTTACAGTTTGCTGAGTTTTGCATTTCAAAACAAGGTCCCGATTACTGCGAGACTATTTGGTACTCTCCCCCCACCCATTCCCTCTTTCTGAATGTGCCATTTAAAAAAAAAGAATCATCTATCTTTGTTTTAATTTGGATGAGATGAAAGTGACAGTTTGTTTTGGCAAGACGGGGATTGTAGTTCCCTGTAAAGATGGACAAATCCGGGTTAGAGATTTAACCCACCAGGCTCTACAGAGGTACCTAAGAACCAAAGAAAAGGTAAGTATTGACTTCTGCTGTAACACACTATAGGCAAAGTCACCTGTTACTTAACTATTCCTTGTGAAGTGTGATTGGCTTCATCTTTCCACTGCATGCATAGGCATTTTGAGCGGAAAACCTATTCTTGAGTTTTTTTAATGCAAAAGTTGCTAATATCAGAAATGACACTAAATAGGTTGAAATTGTGAAACTTAATCTTTTCTGTTCTCTCTATATCACATCTTTCATATGTTGATTCACCTTTAAATCTTAGTAATTTATACAAATAAGTCGGTGATCAGACTTAGATATTCAGATCTCATTAGTTATATGTGTGGTACTGCCCAATCATTAGTGGATACTAAAACTCAAAAGCAAGAGACCAGAGAAGTATTTTAAAGATGGCAAATAACATTTTTGTGAATAAATTTGGGAGATTGGATGTAGAGAATTATTGTGTCGTTCAGTGTCTTCTTTAATGTCACTGTTGATCAATTACCAGAAATGGATTAAACTGGAGAATGTTATTCTCAATAAAAGACCTAAACATCTATATTATTATTATTATACCATTTACCAGATTCTCAAGAATGTTCTTCAAAAACATTCCCTATTCCCAGAACAACTAGACACAAGAACAGTTTTCCCAAATGCCATCACTCTCCTAAAACAAATAATTCCCTCAACACTGTCAAATTATTTACTAAGTCTGCGTTACTATTACTATTAATCCTTCCATCCTTCCTTTCACCCATCTCCTCCCACTTATGACTGTAACCTTGTTGCTCGTATCCTAATGATTGTTATTGACTGTTTCCTAGTATGATTTGATCGCTTATTGTATCCTATGACTATTATTAAGTATTGTACCTGATGATTCTTGACTCTTGATGTATGTATCTTTTCTTTTATGTACACTGAGAGCATATGCACCAAGACAAATTCCTTGTGTGTCCAGTCACACTTGGCCAATCTTCTGTTCTCTTCTCTTCTATTGAGTGATGACTACTCCATCTACAACATTCAGGTCCTCTTCTCTTGAACTCATGTCCTCTTAAATAATGCATTGCAATTCCTTGTTTATCTCAGTGATTGGAAAAAGCCCAAATAGAAACAAGAGTCAGCCAATCTGAAGCTTCCATATTAATGGAAGATGTGGCTGAGTTTTTATGATTGTGTTCTTTCTGTTTTTATATTACAAGCTGAATATGTCAATTCTGCCGTTTTCCTCCTGTCAGTCCCTTAAATTTCACCAATGGTGCAAACCATAATTTTTATTGACATCTGGATCTTATTTCTTCCATATTATTGATATTTTTAACATCTGCTCACTTGATAGTTTAATTTGTAATAAGGCTATGCAGTGCTTTAGCTTCAAAGGCAAAGGGAACTTCAGTATTGGGTTGCCTACATAGCACCTGCCTGTAACTAATGAAAGCATCTGTCTTTTCCTGTACTCATGAGGTTGCACTCTGTAGCTACAGGGAAAATATGATTTAAGGTACTACAGCTAGAGGGTATTGGTATGCCCCTGTATTTTCCAAGCATCTTTTTGCCTTTACATTTGAACTATTGTGTAGCCCTTCCCTATAAGTTCCCAGACAGTATGCCTATCAGAGCCACACAATTAAGTAGATTAATTAATCCGTAATTAAATGGATTACCACTTTTGATAAATGAAGATTGATAGTACAGTGACAGTTGCTGTTCTGTTCATTTTCTCAGTGACCCGTCTGAGCTATTTTAAATAAAAGTGAATAAAAAGTGAAAATGTGGTCACTGGTCTGGAATTAGTGGTTGTAGCCCATAAATCTAGAATCTGCCTCATGGTTCCTGTGGAAGAGCATACAAAAGTACTGTTGTTCATATGTTACCAGTATGAACAAATCCTCTTCAAAGGCTTGATATGGAAATGAATGTATTTGTGCTAATTTGTCCTTACCAGACTGTCACCAGAGTATAACTTCAATGTGTAAATTATGTCTAAGTAAAATGTAAATCAGGCACTCAGAGGGTTTATTTTTACTGTTCTGTAAACATCATGCAACTTAGACACCTGAGTATGTGCCATACCACCAATTTAGAATTGAGCTGATTGCAGGAACATTTTCTTCTTGATGATGATGATGGGTATTCTAGATAATCTTTTATCAAAAAGACCCCCTGTACCTGGAAATCATTGAGAAGGAATCTAGGAAAAACTCCCAAGTTAGTAATTCTCGATATCTTATACTTACTTTGCAAAAAAAAAGTTTTTATACAGAACAGCACAGCACATTGAATTTGTTCCAATATAACAGTAAGCCACAATGCTTCTGTGTTCTGATCAATGCTACTTTATTTCTCCTTCATGGCTTCTCTTTTCAGAGTGACTATCTAAATCCATAATGTCTTCATAATTTAGTTTATATTATATCTGAACTGGAATTCATGGCTTGTTGCTTTTTTATTGGGTCTAAGTTTCTTCTTAGCTTGTTAGGAGATAATCAAGGACAGGTATGATTGGAATATGACTCGTAAATCAGACATGCACAATCTGAACTTCTAGAGTTACATACAGTCCCCAAATGTCTTGAGCACAGGCTCAAGTGATTGCCAAATTATAATTTTTAATGTGGAAGAGAAGTTGGAATTTTTTTTATTGGAGAGTGCTATTAACTGCATTTAATATTGAGGACAGATGCTCATGAAATACAGTTAGATTAGGTTTTGTTTTTTACCCTGCTTTTTTGCTCAGAGATGTTCAAGTATGCCATCAGCAGAGAGAAAAGACAGTTCACCACCTCTGCTGTAAACCTATTGCTAATAATGGTATCTGAATGTTTAACTCTTTCACTGACAAATCTAGTGAAACTTTTCAAAGATTTTTCTTGCCACTGTTCCACTGGAAGGTGGCTTTTGACATAGCATGCAAGGCCTGACATGATCCTTGTATTGCTGGAAGTTGTACATCTGTATTTTACTTGTGTAAACTTTAAATTCTTGCCTTGTAATTCTAATATTAATATATTAAAGTGTTGAGTGAACAAGTGTTGAAACAATAGGAGACTGGAAAGTCTTGTACAATCTTACCTTTCTGTGAAACTTACAGCTCTCTTAGAAACTTGTTCATTGCTCAGTTGCATCAGGTCTTACCAGTTCAGTATATCTTTTTTTTCAGCAAATTATCTGTAAAAATTAAAATATTGGCATGAAATCAGAGTTATAGATGGGGATTGTGTTGGGTAGATAATTAAATTTTGCTCTTGAACAGTATTTTCAGAGAGGAAAAATGAAGACTTAGTTTCTTCTGCCTTTGATAAATGTTTTGAGTTATTAGTACTTAGTATCTGAAGTGCCTAATTATTCATCTCAAGCCTGAATTGACACTAGTAATTACTTAAGCAACTATTCAGATTCTTCAATTTATTTCATCAGGCAATTACAGAATTTGAAAGAAACATTCCTCAGTTCATTAGGTCATATTTATAATGTATGAGGTTCTTCAGTTTAGTTAGGACTCCCAGGTCAATCTTTTTCCTGTATCCTCTGTGAGCTGAACTTTTAAAACAGACATTCTCCAGATGAGCTGTGAAGCGTATCCATGACTGGGAGGTGCTTCTGTCTCTCGTCCGATAGGCTGGGCTTAATTCTGAGGACACTCCTCCTCCTCCACGGGGACTCCTCCTTAGTGTCCCCAGTTTTTGCTCAGCCTTCCTACGAACAGGCAGCTTTTTCTCTTACCTTGGCTGGAATAGGAGCAAAGACATCAACATCAGAAAAACAAAAGGTTTGATTGTAGCGTTTCGGCTGCCTTCGGGCTACATGTGTCAGCAAGGAGCCACAGGGAGCTTCTGAAGCAATTAACTCTAGCTGGCTGTCGTTTAATCTTGCTGAGAGTGCTATTGGTGCTCCAAGGGTGGATCGAGGTAGCGTGTTCCAAAATGCAACCCCTCAAGTTAGGAGAAACTTTCCCTTGCCATTGCTAACTGTAGTTTACAAGCAGCGCCATTGCGAAACAGCAAGCATGGGTCGTGTTCGCACTAAACAGTAAATGGCCCGAGGCTTTTCCCCCACGGAGAGAATGCCAAAGAGGGGGGGGTATCAGCGCCTTTACCCTTCTCCGCTCTTTTGGGAGCCGTTGGTGAGGCTTTTTGCCTTCGGATTGGCTTCCAGACAGGAAATTGCTGCTAAATCAGTCTCAGCGTGCCACATTAACGGCCAGCACCATTTTGGATACAGATTGACTGTGTGGGGGTTCACCAGCATCTGAAATAAATCAGCTGGTGGGAAGCAATATCCCAACCAGGGCTGTCTTTATACAGCCCCAAGGGGTCCTTCGGACTTAATCCTCTACCCTTGGGGTTTCACTGAAGAAATTTAGTTGGCTAAACCATCACAGCCCATTCTTTCAGCAGTACAACAGCCAGCACCTAGGCCAAAGTCCGCCTGTGCTGTTGCAGGAATAATAATAATAATAAAAGCTGTTGCAGGAATAATAATAATAAAAAAACATATTAATATTCATATTTTAAGAAAAAGAAAAACGGAGAATTAATATTAAGGGTTCCCTGCACATTCCTGGATATATATTCCTTATCTATTTTATAATTCAAAGATTACAATGGCAAGCAGTAGTAGCTCTAGAGCATCAACTACGAGAGCCATGTCTAGAGCCTAGAGCAAATCAAAGGAGTCTAAGAGACTTTCCAAGGCCACAGAGGAAGATGCCAAAAGGCGCCAGAAGGCACTTGAAAAAAAATGAAAAAGTACATGTGGGAGGCCGAGAAGAATAATTAACCTTCATCTCCCCCAAGGCCCGGTCCGGCTCAAAGCTCCCCTCCACTTCCTCCCCTGGATCTGTCAATGCAATCTAGGTGAAACACGGTCCTACAAGACCAACCTAGCACCTCAACGGCAGTACCTGTACCATGAAGGGCCCCTGAGGCCACATTTACTCCAACAGCGGCAGGCCTCCATCTGGAGGAATCTCTCCCAGAGGAGATCCCTGCGCAGATGAGAGCTTGGATGGAGTTAGC